ACGACCGGGCGCCCCAGACTCATTGACATATCTCTCGAGTGGCAGAGATATGAATGATTTGAGTCTGTCCCGTGCGTACATGTGCGTTACGCTCCCCACGGCTCTACCAGGATGGTTTCTGGTTGCGCGCGCGAATAGAAGGGTGTGGGTGTGGACTCAAATGAAAGATAGCCACTCCGACACTCACCCCACACACACACCCTGTTCTGTAATATGCATACTGGAACCAGCCAGCTAAGAGAAAGAAAACTCATTCCGAACTATTCGAATGATTTAAACTCTCATATCCTGAATTTGATAGACAATTTAAGAATTTTGTAGAGTAAAATTTTTAGATATTATTAGTGTTCTACTGAATATTCTAGTCGATTAATTTAAAATAAATAAATTCATCTTTCATGCTTTAGCGAAACTTTCATATAATTTATACTTATATATCGCACATACATGTCTTATCGACAAATGTACATGTAATCCATTTGTGTATGTAGCTTGTCGGCTCACATAGAAATCAATTTGAAAATCCTAAAAAACGTAGAACTTCGCGTCAAGAGTCTGTAATGTTATCGCATCTTCCAAAAATATTCAGTTTTCTAGTAGACAATGGCAGAAAAGTGATCTAGAACATCCGCCAAATAGTGGTCCTATCTAATGATTCCAAGAAATCATAGGCAGTGCCGATAAATAACTGTTTTCCGTCGTATATTATTCAATCGAAAGAAAGTTTGAAAGCAACTCTACTATCTAGTTTTCTATACTCATGTTGTCAGCTACAAAATAAAGCACACACCACACATAGATTCATTATTTAAAAAAAAATAACTGTCACAATACTAAAAGCGTAGTTACTCATTTCATCTTTATTTTTAATAGTATTCAAATAATAAAAATAAAGAAAATGAAAGAATATATAGATAATTCTTAATTGGGAATAAATTGATAGTTCCAGAGAAATAAAATGTAGCATCAAGCCATGGATCTGGATCAATAACTTGTTTCCAACTATGATCCCGTTGTTTTTTCCATGTCTTCCAATCTACAATCATTTCCTTGGTCAAATTATCGTACAAATGAGGATACAACGAATTTCCTGAATTTTCCCATCTGATATCATATCGGTTTTGAATTATCCATTTGTAATTCAATTTGAGTGCGCTTAACTCAGTTGCATTGCTATAATGTCGAGAGGCAATATACATAAGTTGATTAGCTGTTGATAAATGAATAAAACCATCATTTATATCAGATAAAGATGGAGGAAAGATAGGAGGAAATGGTTGAGGTGGTGGCTCCATCAGAATTCTGTAAACATAGTTTGGAAATTGATTTGATTCATTCGATCGAGCTATAAAAAAGAAAAGTAACATAGAAACTTTCGTTTACAATCAGTTGTATACGTAGTGAGAACAAGAATATGATTCAGTAGCAAGATTATCAAAGAAATCTATATTGAAAATATAGTCAACATTAAAAAAATAAATATAACAAGTATATTCACAATAACACTAAAAAAATCATGTTTTTGTGTATATGAAAACATGTGAGATAAAGCGTGCAATTTACCTGAGACGATACCCATGATTAACAGTACCAACAATTGAATCATACTTGGTAATCTAAGAAATAAAGTCACTAACGCAACTCTTTATTATTCCAAACGGAATATCTTACGTTTATATACTGAGATAAGTCAGATAGAACATGCAGCAAAACTAAATAAATGAATGTATTGATACTGTCTATATATATATAATGTTAAGTGTTTGTCGGTTTTTCTGCCAAAGATTAAAGACTGACTAAGACTATAAGAAAAAGTCCCCAAGAGCTATTTCCATAGGGCTTGAAGGGAGTAAGGCAATACAGAGTTATGGCTACAAGAGATATAAGAGTGTAGGATGATCTGTCTATATAGATAATATCGAGTGTGTGTATGTCTGTTACTCGATGAAAGATTAAATGTTTGAGGTCATAGGTTAAAGCAGAAAATGGCTGTGCGGCTTGCACGAGCTCAAGTTATTAGTAATTATAATATGAAGAAAGAGACTAAGTAAATGTATGAATAATAGCTGTTATCACGAATACTTGTGATAATCTGGGGAAGTATATACAACGTCAAAATATGTCATCATCTTCCTCTTTTCTCATTTGATTAGCTTTACTCTCGAGGAGATGAGTCAATGAAAAAGATTAAAGTACAATATAATCAAACATTTTCTAATATATCATCTGTATGTGGATTAGACAAATATAAAAAAAACCAGTCAATTTGCATTGTTCTTTTAATCCATGTAAAAATGATAAGACATTTACAGAGAGGAAGTAGATCACTAAATACTTTGACAAATATTATTAATATATTTTTCTGCGAAATACAGATTTCATTCTTCAATAGGCGTCAATTGATCTTATAAATAATATTTCGTTTGAAAGTTTTTTTATTAGTCTATTTATTGACGTCATTTTGTGCATTTGATTTTGTCAATTGTTCGTTGATTATCATTGGTCAAACTATAGTTCTTCATTGACTTGTATCGCATATATTGAATTATAGTGGATATGAAAAAGTTGATTATAATTTTGAATTTTGTCTTAATTGTGACGTTACTAATAGGTGCTATTGTATGGGGTGCTATTATGACTCATAAATTTAGTCAAATCAATAAAGAAAACAAAAATTCACCATCCATTTACTCAGAAGAATTTGATTTCATTGTCGTTGGACTTGGTGCTGGTGGTTCAGTCATTGCTTCTCGTTTATCTGAAGTGCCAAGTTGGACTATATTAGCTTTAGATGGTGGTCCACATGAACAATTTTCTGATACTGATTTGGATCCAAATGTTCGATTTCTACCATATAGTTTTGTATCTCCACATGATCCAGTTGTTACTAGTTTACCATTGTCAGCTGGTAACAATAAAATAATGTATATACCTCGTTTTAATGGTCTTGGTGGTACAGGTCGATTATATGGTGGGATTAATACTCGACCATCACCAACAATTATGCGTCGTTGGCCAAATAATTGGACTTATGATGATTTATTACCATATTATAAAAAAATTGAAGATCATTATTGTTATTATTATGATGAAAATATAACTGGAATATCTAATGATAATTGTCGAAAATATCATGGTCAATATGGTCCACTTCAAGTTAATCCAACTTATTTTCTTGAATTTGCTAATGTATCAAAATTCTTTGAACCAATATGCAAAGATTCAAATCAACTTTGGGGTGGTTATAATGCTGATATAAATGGTGAAAATTACCTTGGTTGTTCTCTTTTTCAACGCTATTTCAATCGACAAGGAAATAGAACTGATGAACAATCTGATTATTATTTAGGTACATCATTTCAAGGTTATATAACACCATCTGTAATAAATCGTACGAATCTTCGTATTCGACCAGCTACTATGGTTACTAAAATATTGTTTAATACAACAACTACCACTATTCCTAAAGCTATTGCAGTTCTTATTCAAAATAATACAGGTACCTATACAATTAAAGTAAATAAAGAAATAATATTAGCTGGTGGTGCATTTGGAACGCCACATCTTCTTCAAGTAAGTGGAATCGGTGATCCATCAGCACTTCTTAATGCTCAAATTCCATTAATAGCTGAAAATTATTATGTTGGAAAAAATCTTCGTGATCATGTTGCAATTCCTATGGTATTTCAATTAAAAAATGCTTTTTCAGCATTTCCAAATATTAAAAAAAATTTAACTGGATATATTAAATCTATACCAAATGGTAGCAAATCATGGATAATATCTCTTAATGCTGGATTACGACAAGATAATATAACAGATTTACAAATTTATTTTTCTGATACAAATTATCATTCACCTGATTATTTTACTAATCCTCAACCACGTCAATGTCGATTTGGTTCTAATGGTTATCGTGAAACACCAGCAGAGATTACATTAAGAATGATTTTACAAGATCCATCATTTTTAGGTAATGTTACTCCAATTTCGGATAATATTCGTGATAAACCTATTATTAATTTTAATTGGAAATTAATTAATGATTATGAATATAGTGTATTCGAAATTAGTATTAAAAAATTTCGAAATTTAATCAATAATACTGTTTGGGGAAATCTTATGGGAGATGAGGTATTTCCTGGTATTAATGAACCATTAAAAGATTTTATTAATGGTCATTTAGAATCTGCATTACATCCAATTTCAACATGTCAATTAGGATTATGTTGTAATACTCGACTTCAAGTAAATAATATAACTAATGTTCGAGTTAGTGATGCTTCAGCATTTGGTCATCAAGTTGATGCAAATCCATCTGCTACTATATTTGCATTAGCAGAAAAATTAGCAGATATTATCAAATTTGATTACAATGTACATTCTCTTAAACATCGATTCAAAAGGGCAACATCACGAATAGCTTCTGGATCAACTATTTCTCATATGGCAGGACATTATATAAAGGATTATTCGAAATATTTTCCTCATGCTGCTTAAGATTTCTAAAAAACAAAATTTCTTTTTTTTCGAAAATAAAATTTCATTTTTAATATTATTTATTATTGTTTTTCCTCAGAAATTTATTGAAGAATTAGAAAATAAACAATTTATTAAACTAGTTCATTTAAAAAGTCCGTGTGTGTGACTATTTGTTGAATAACTTTTGCTAAGAACAAGATAGAGACCTGCGGTTTTCGCCGTTCAATAGCCAAGGTAAAGAGGTATCTTTTCATTAGGAAAATCTTTTCTGAGGATCCATCTTGAAGTTGGTTTCTCAAAACTTGCATGGATGTCTATTGATTTTTTTGCATATTTGGAATTTGCATTAAAAACTGAATGCACCTATATATGTTTAGAACATTTTCACGACACTTTTTTTTTCATCGAAAACCTCTGCCCAAGAGTCATATCAATAAAAAAAGTCAGCGAAAACGCCGTTTCTATCGTTTAGTCTTTCGCTATTTTGTGCTCTAGAAGTATTTTTCAACTTCTAAAGTTGCTTTCCACTGCCCAAGTAACGTTTTGACTAACTTTATTTACTGGCATGACCTTTGGGCAGATGTTTTCGAAGAAAAAAAAGTGCCGCAAAAACGTTCTAAACATATATAGGTGCATTCAGTTTTTAATGGAGATTCCAAATATGCAAAAAAATCAATAGGCATCCATGCAAGTTTTGACAAATACAATTTAGTTTTCCTGACATTCTATGAGAGAAGACCACAGATCTCTAACTTGTTCCCAGCAAAAGTTATTCAAAAAATAGTCATACGCACGGACTTTTTAAACTAACTATACTATCTCTTCTATTGGACAATCAAATTGACACAAAATATCTTGCAGTTCTCACATTTTCATAAAAAGAAATCAATTATTATCGTTGTTAATAGAAAATTGTAGACGACTATTTCCGTGAACATTGTACTATTTTAAGTACTTAATTGGATGACGTAAAATTCAAGTTTGAGAAAATAATCTCTACATTTTTATATTATCGAACAAAGAACAAGAAGACGAAAGAGGATCAATGAATCTACTTTCATTTTTCTAATGAAAGCAAATATACTAGTGCAGAATTCCTCCTACAACCGTTCTATGTCAAATACAACTCTTTACAGAAATGTTTTCATGAGCACCGATGCAAATTGCTAGAGTACATTTCTATCTTATTCCATTTTTCTGGCTAAAATTTTACTTAATTAGTGATTATATGAGCTTCCATTTCAAAAGGAAATATAATATTTAGGTCAATCTAAAAGTAGTGTCGTTATTATGTTACTATATCATTCCTCTTCAATTAATATTATAATTTAATATGCTATAGTATTATAATGACGTGTCCGATTAGAATTAATCCAATTTTGAACTCTTCTTTTTGCAATTGAAAAAATCTGACACAATAGTCTTGTTCAATGATTCTTTTATGTTAGTTTATTTAGGTTAAAAAAGTTCTTGACATCATGTAAAATACAGAGTATTTCTATATTTTGGATTCAAAAAAAACTAACAATTATTTTCCATGAAGTTGAGTTGAAATAGTTGGATAAATGGCTGCTCTTCCAGTTTGACGTCCAGTAACTATCGGTGCTGTTAGTGATATATTCGTTGGAGCTACTTGATTTTGATTCGAATTGAATAGACGTTTTAAATACATTTTAATTGTTTGTCGAAGACGCGATGAAGAAAGAAAAAATATATAAAAAGATGAGGCGAAATTTACACACATGATAGAGACAGACAGATAATCTATGACTAGTTCAATGGATATTTGATCAAAACTTCTCATTGCACGTTCATTGAATGTAACAATTGTATAAATAAGAAAAATGGCTCGAGGAATTGTACAAAAAACACTCAAAAGAGTTTGAATTATCATCATTCTTGTCATTTGTTGTTCCCACATTGATCGACGAGTTTGATTTGGTTGTTGACGAACATGAATTACAAGACGAATATTATGATATGTCATCAAACCAAATATTATTAAAACAATTAAAGGAAGAAAACATTAAGAATTGGAAATAGAAATATAGTTTCTATTCGCATAAAAAGATCAGTTGTAAATAAACAGATGTACATAGGCGGAACAACATCACAATATATGAGAAAAGGAATATTTGGGTGTGGGTGTGGGTGTGACCACATGACTTTTCTTCACCTATACTCACACCCACACCCACACCCACACCCACACCCACACCCACACCCACACCCATTTTA